TCCATAAAGTGGACCGTCATAAGCAAGACCTAACAATATCCTCACGACCTCCTTTTATTACTACTGGAAATATTTGACGAAAATCACCTCCAAATACTACAACTTTACCTCCAAATGGTTTTTCTTCTAATAATGGATCAATAGCTTTTATGAGATCTCTCATCATCCTATCAATAGCCTCAAATGCATATCGATGTATCATCAGAGCCTTGTCCCAAATAATAAGGCATGTAACTTGCAGAAGTGAAGCCAGATCAGAATCATGTTTTACAGAACAGGTAGAATTTTTATGTATATTAAGAGAAATCTTAAAGCATGAGTGAGCTGTTCGACCATCTGGCAAAAGAAGAGCAGCGATGTCTGAAGAAGCCACAGCAAGAGCAATATATTCATTTAGGCGGACTTTTCCAAGTAAGTTACTATATTCATTTAACAATAATTTTGTATGTAATAATTCAAAAATTGTAATTGATATATATATAGCAAACTAAAATAAAAAATTTTCTTACTTGTATAAAAATGTCTTTCCGGTTCCACCTGGACTGTCTATAAAAAAAATGATGGGAGTTTTGGTTTCAATAGCTTCAATAACCTCTTCAAATACAGCTCACTGATCTGCATTTAAACGGGAGAAATCAAGGTTTGTAAGTTCTTCAATATTATATTGCTGTTCTTCTCTAATCAAACGATTGCTTTGGTAATTATTAGGAAGAGCTGTTGGAATAGGCATATTTGGAAACTCATTAAGAAATCTTCTATGTCTACTCAAAATAGATTGTAAATGATGAAGAACTCTATTATGTATATCAGCGTCTGTAAGCTTAGGAGTCATATTTCTAGTTTCAAAGAGAATATCATTACTAAAAGCAGAAATATGAGTTTCCCAAAGCACTTCTGGTCTTGTTAATTTACAAAATAATAGTAAAGTAGCAAATAATTTATGCAATTGTGTTCTGGTTTGCATCTGTTCGGCTTCTTTCAAACATTGATTCCATTTATCATCGTCTTGTAGTAAGCCTAAAGTAACACATGCTTCTTTGAAAGAAGGATAGAGAATTCCATCTATTATACGAAGATTTTCAAAAGAAGTTGCATCACAGATTACACTAAGTAACATTCTCAGATAATATTGTTCACCTGCCGCAGGATGAACAAAATACATACGACCAATGGAATTTCCTCGTTCTCTTAGTTTCCAACTTTGGCTTTATTATTATAGACTCACTGAGATGGAAAATCCGGATATGTTAATTTTCTTGCATTTGGATATATAATATTGGCATGAAATCATGCTGTAAGAGTAGTTTTTTCTGAAGAAGATCGTTCAATTATATTTTCCAAATGCTCATCATCTTGAAATATCACTCTATGTTTGCCTGGAAGATGAACGCATAGTTGTATGACATCTGGCTTCTCGTTATGTAACCGATAGTGAAATATCCTTCATGAAGCTTTTGATGCTGAAATATAGCGAGCATCAAGGTATAAGCTTATCTCATCATCCACTCGTTCTTGTTGAATATTAGTTCTAATTTCTATAGTAACGTGATTATGGCCTTTATACACGTATTTGAAAAGATATTTTATAGTGGTAATTGATGAACAAATCTCTACGTTAATGTGACAATTATACTTAGTTGCAAGGTAAGGGTTATACGTACCACCCAACGATTGTCTAACTGAATTTCTTTTACTTCTACAGTTCGACCATCATTTTTACGCCTATAGACTGGATAACCATCTTCATTCTCTGTAGTTTTTTCCTGAAAGCTTTGTGGATATCTTTTAGAACATTTCCCATTCTTCATACATGAAGCATTGGACATAAGCGATCCACATGGCCCATACATCATTGATCTTTTAACAGTACTAAATGTATCGGGTTCATTATTCTCATTCAGAATTTCAGCTGACACAAATATATCATAGTCTGCGGTAGTTTTGGGCTTGTAATCTTGAGCAAGAATAAGAAGAACATGAGCATGTGAAAGTCCACATTTTTGAAATTCTATTGTATAAAAGTATACTAATACTTTTCCAAAAATATTTTCTTTCAAAATATCATTGAGTATTACCTTTAGTTTCATATTAAAATCACGACTAATTAGATCGGGACGGTCTTGTGCAGTCTGATTTGGAAGAAGAGCCTCTTTTATCTCAGGTCAGTTCAGGTTACAAGTTATTGTAATAAACAGGTCAGGTTTCCAAACACTCGTACAATGGCCATTCCATCTTGGTATAACTTATGCATTTGTCGAGGCTCACCAGTAAAGCTTGATGGTAATATAATTCTCTGTCCTATATTTGCTGTATTATCTCCTGAATGCATCGCATCTTGAAGTCCATTATACAACTCTGCACGTATTTGTTTCTGATTATATTTTAAATAATTAAGGCGTGTTTGCTCTACTACTGTATATATATCAACAATCCATTGTTGAAAAAGGCGTCCATAACAATGTAGTGTTAATGCTTTTCTGGGACGGCCAATTTGAAGCCAGTAAGCAAAATAGTTTATCGTGATAACACATTTATTTGTTGTATCTGCCTCATCTTTTTCATTGATTTCAGATGTCTTTTCATTATGTATAGGAATATCAGGATGCCATCCATCTTCACCTCTAGGAAACATAAGGACATAATAAAGCAGTGCATAAGAGCGATGTATTCCTGAAATCTGCTGTATTCCTCCCTCATATGGTCGTAATACAATATCTTGGTTTTGATATTCTGTTTCTTGTCCATCACCTATCATAATAACTGTGACTTCTGATGCATTTAGGGTATTATAATGTCAAGAGTCTTTTGTTCTGTTATTAGTAATTACTAACTTTAAATCCAATGAAGGATCACATTTTAGTAAGTTTCCAGTTTGACGAAATATACCAACATATGGATTAATATCATGTAACATCTGTTAGAGTTCCACAAGAATAGTAGAGTCAAGACCGGACATTACATTTAACCTATTTTGTATTTCATGATCAGTATCATAGATATATATCTGAGCAAATTGGGGACTGGTTTTAGGGTCAGGTAACAAAGTGCCTATTCTATGATACATTTCTTCATGAATACGAAAGGCATAAATGCCTCTGGTGCCAGTAACCTGATGGTCGATTTTTGCTCCTATAGATGTAAAGGATAAAGCAGAATTATACATTCGAATGTTTTTCTGAAATGAACATGAACATGAATCAGTTCCAGTAAGAAAGATATCAAGTGGAGGTGGTAGCTCTTTAAGAAGCGGAAGTATAACTTTGCCTTTTGCACAGCAAGTAGTGAATACTGGTGAATTTACTGATTTATTTGTTCTTTCATCTAACCACATCATAGCTCCACAGTTGTGACATTTATGATTCATATCACCTAATATATGACGATGCAATCCAGATGAAATCCATGGATAGACGCATGCCTTTGGAGTCTGTGATAATTCGTTAATTTTGGTATCTCCTTTTCTTCTCTTTGGATATGGAGCTATATTTTCTTTTTCACTTTGTGTTATCCGTTTGCGAAAACGTTGCTGGCGTTCAGCTTGAAGCATTTTTTAACGTTCTTTAAGAGTTTCTTTATTCATAATAATTTTGTAGAGATATATATATATATATATATTGTAAAAACCAAGTTTATATGTTTTAAAATTTTACCGATATATATTTTCAAAGAAGAAACTTCTAAAGAAAAGAGTTCTTTTGAAGTTCACAATTACGTGATCAATAAGAGAATTTTCAGATTCTTTGGAGCTCGTAATCATGTGATTAGTAAACATAACGCGATTCTTTTAAACACGAACACATGATTAATGACTAACAATTTGATGCGACACGCGCTCGTTGTATAATGACTCCTCGTGGTAAGAGATTCTCCAGATTCTTCGAAGAATCTATAATCACGTGATTATAAATGCAACACGATTTCTTTAGATACGAAAAAAATAGCATTCAGATTTTTAATAATAAAGAACAAATATAGTATAGAGAATATTAGACATAATAGACAATGATTGAATTAAAACAATAGGCTTAGACAATAATTTTCAACACAATGCAACGTAAAACATAACGTGATCACGTGACTTATAATGAATAGATATTTATACGGGGTATTATAAACATTACACCATGTGATCGACAACGATTTTAAATATATAGATGCATATGCAAAAATGTATTATTTTTCTGTGGTAGAATCTGGACACAGTATCTGAGCTCATCAAAAATGCGCAGAAGTGGGATCAGCATCCGGTTAAATTTATCACCCGAAATAGCCAGCCGTTAAGACACTTTGTAAGTCATTGTATATATGACTATCTGATGGTAGAGTCTGGACACAGTGTCTGGACTCGGCAAATTATTTTCCATGATGTTTTGGCAATCAGTTATATACATTTAAAAAATAAAGCCCTGATATGACGGGATATGCAAATGCTTTATTATATGTTTGAGAATACACGTGAACGAAATTCTGTTTTTTCTGGTGGTAGAATCTGGACACGATATTCAGGCTCGACTTTATTGCACAGAAGAAATGGCACAGTATATTAACAACCCTTTCGTTTTAAGATTTTGACCATTATATAATCCTTTTTATCCTTAGTTAGATTTAAGATGAAACCTGAAGGAGTGGATTTTATCTGTGCTATTTTTTCTTTACCTATACTATTAAAAAGCTTATAAACCTTTTCAGATCTCTCCATCCTTTTTCTCAAAGCTTCATCAGAACATTTTGCTTCAGGAATCGCTTTTCTGACCTCACTTTTAACTAATGCTTGAGTCCATCTTTTCCGTCCAAAGCTTTCATCTCACTGTCTTAAAGCTAGAATCTTTTGTTTTATTGCACAGTCTGTGATAAGATTATCGGCAATACTTTTTCTGAATAGTACTGCAGTTTTTTGACAAAAATTTTTGGGATAAACATACTGTAACAATAACATCAATTTCAGCACATTGTTTTTATTTGATTCACAAAATTACGCATAAATACAGGATATTAATTATCTAAGCCTATTACTAAATTTAATGTAAATGAAAAGAACAAAAAAGTATAAATCTAGCCCAGAAAGTATAGAATTAATTTAGCTGTAAGCCAATAATCGCAACCTTGACAGGCTTAGGTGAGGAGATGAGCATTCTGCAATAAGTAGAACGTGACGGAGAACTAGGTGGTGTGTTAGAAGCAATTACCTTCAATGTCTCAGAAATACAGTCCTACAAAGAAGGCATTTAATGGTTTGATAGAAATTCACTAAAGATAGTAAAAAGAAACTACTATTTATTACTTACTTTGACATTATATAATGCTTCTAGCACTGATATCAAACTTAAAAATTGCGCCTGTTCTGTCGGGGTAATTACATTTGCTGTCAAGAACATTCTATAAATTCTGTCATAATTTATATCCATTTTATAGATGCGAATACGTGCGCCTATAAATGCAATCAAGTGTGTGTTAGTAATTGCATTAAAAAATCAAACTAAATTTAAGCACTTACCGCAAACCCAAATACTGAAAGAAGTCAAACCAATCCTGTTTCCATATCTCTTGATCAATTCATCTAATGCATCTGCTTGGAAATTGGAAAGTTTGACAAAATCTTTATTGATCAATAAAGATGATGAGTCTTTCAGTTTAGCTTCACCAAAAAGAATCTCATCTCTTGTACTGGTCAAAATTTTAAAGTCAGGTTTTTTACCTCAAGAGTTTTCCTTATTGCTAGGACTGCTAGAACGCTGATTTTTTGAAATAGAACTCTCGCTGTTTGCCTTTTAAATTAGACATCATTTAATTACATAATTCAATAGTCACACGGCAGACTTACAAATACAAATTCTCACCATATCAACTCAAACATTGAATCACGGAAAATTTCTTTCAGTAGGTTGTGCAAAATTTCATGGACAAAGGTGTCCTCATTATTGGTATTCACGCCTTTCGAACTCGAACTTAACAATAAACTATAATAAGAAAATGTTCCATTCAGTGTTACATTAATTATAACATCTAATTGGTACAACACTTACAAATTTCGAAGAATGATTTGAGCCTGACAAAATTTGTCTTTATCTTGATCATTCAATTCTGCAACCTTGGAAAAATTAGCATACCATACATCCTGAATATTACTCAATGGCGTAAAAGAATTCAACATCTAGAGTTAATGGAGAAAATGCATTAATATTGATTCTCATAACCTAACTCTGAATCTGAGAGTGGGAAAAGTAAACATACAGAAGAATATTCAAGAGTCATATTATTCACTACTGGTGGCAAACTCGAAGGTAATTGTCTTTGAAAGATTTTGTCTTAAATTGCTGAAATGATGGTGAGATATGAAGGCTTCGTATGCTCAATGAGCATTATGTTTGAGAGGCAACTATTTTAACATGAATAGTAAACATAATGTCATAAAATTTCATGATTCAGATGGAATGAATACATACAGAATTTTATCAATCTCTTTCTTATAACATAAATACGGCTTTTCTTTTACTTGTTGGATCGTTAGTTGTTAAAAATTCCGAAACTCATTAGATAAATTGTAACTTTCAAAAATCCACTGAAAAAGCATGTAAGTACAATTAGTTAATGTATGGTAAATGCAACAAAGCGTTAATCACATCGTGTACTCACATCCTTTTTGGAAGTGTTTCTGAAATCAATCTTATTTATAGCATCCTTCCATGAATAAAGTATCTGATGTCGTTTCCTGGCATCATAATATTCACCTAATGTACAGTATATAGGAATTAGATTTACGTTTCAAAAATATGATAAAATGCAAAACTAACATTACCTTCTTCACAGTTAACGTAGTTAAAATCAGAAGGTGGGTTATGATCTCGATTGGTTCTTGCATCTGCAGAAGTTAATGTTATACGCTAATGTTTGCATGGTAATTTGTTAAATACTGTATCAGCAATGACGCAAAAGCCAATTTTTTACCTTTTTACGTGAAACGCTTCCTTCAGCTTCATTTTCTCGCTATGAAAAATTGGTAAATTTACACCTTCTTTTGATGTTTCCTGTGCATGAGCATACTGAGTAAGCTGTTTCACATAAAAAAGTGTTAGAATAGGCAAATATAACTCAGGTTTTCTTATTAACATCCCACTCCAATACCTTACTATTTTCCGAATATATTAAGGTGTCCTAGTGAGGCAGATCTGATAGCAGATTCTGTCTCTCTTTCTTCAGCTACTATCTTCCAAAAGCGGATTATGGCTGGCATCTTTTTTTCCATCTTAAAAAGAAAATATGAGTGAGTTAGTACAGGAATAAAGCGACTATTTTCGTGATAGATGCAGGGTCCAACTTTATCTGAACCAGCAGATCATCACAAGAGCAACTAGCAGATGCTCTTGCTTAGATGAAGTGAGACTTCGATTGAACCAGCAGATCATCACAAGAGTAACCAGCAGATACTCTTGCTTAGCGAAAGTCATCTGATCATTATCTGAACTAGCAGATCATCACAAAAGCAACCAGCAGATACTCTTGCTGGATAAAATCAGAACGTCACAATACAAAAAAGGAGTGAAATAATACTTAACCTCGAACATATTTAAGGCTATCTTCGCGTTGAATACATTATGTTCAGTTAGCTCAGCTAATTACCCATCATACTCAGCTTGAGCATCTTTCGTAAAAGAAGTTTGATCTTTTCGCTTTATTAGGTACTCATAAAGATAGTTATCACACTTGTTTCTAAAAATAGCTTCAACAACCGCTTTCCTTTCTTGCTTAACATCCATTGTTTCTGCGATTTCAACAATAATTTTATCAGACTATTGCTTTTATATCAAAAAATCAATCAACTTCAAGCCACTTAAAATTAATTGGTCAGCATAATACAATTGATACATATTAAAAATTACCATAAGAGGTAAATTATAGTGGTTTATGACATAATCAAAAATTCATTATATTATTATTAGGTCATCCCGCTCCCGTTTCTAAAAATAGAATTTATTTATCACTGGTGTCACAGTTTACTGCGTTTCCATTTTTTATAAGTATTCAAGAAACTTAGTTTTTTTCACTTGACGTGACACTATTTGTCACGCCAATTAAGAGTACTACCTAATGTCACATTTGAATACATTGTTAAAAAAAATAAAACCTGCGAAACTTTATTAAAATTTTCAGATAAATGCCTTTAGCTAAGAAATATAAAAAATGACAGAGGTAGCGATTGAAATAAGTGATGCACACTTCATTTTTATAATATTCCACACCGCCTCATAACCAATAAATTTGTAGCTTAATATATTGTTCAATTCTAATAATACGATGTGTTTAAACATTAACAAATTTCTTTTATAATTTATTAGGCTGAGATTAAATAAAGATATTTCGATTTTTTATCGTCAGTTCGATACTGTGCCAAACGTTAATAATTCGGCACCTGAAAATGCTATTACCGGAAAATTTTATTCGATATACTGCGCACTGTATTTCAGCATGTGATGAAAATTTGGTGACAGAAATTAATACTACGCTGATTAAACACATGACAATGATCATGATTTTCTCGGCGAATATCAAATGTGCAGAAAGAATCAAGAAAGGTAATATGTCCACTTTATCTTTGAGCATCTATAGAGCCAGAAAAAAATGATTAGCGTTATGATAATGATTTTCTAGAATCAAGCCAAGAAATCAAACGAACTAACTTTGTTATTACTTTGCAGAATATACTCGTTTTATTGATTGTTGATATTGTTGATGTTAATAGTGGTAAGTTTGAATATTTGTTTTGATCCTTTTTTTGCTTTACTTGCACAAGACGGATAAAAGGATTCACTAAATAAAGCCTCACCTTTTTATAAGATTTGTAATGCATTTAAGGATTAATTTTTGAAATAAATCTTTGAGGGAATTATGTTATTATGATTTATCATGAAAATCAGATCAACGGATACTCCTTAAAATTATAATAGATACTGGGATTGTGTCTCTGGATCAACAAGAAGATCTTTTTTATTATTAATACATGTAAAAGCTTGAGTATATGTGAGAAGTTTTGAGAATAAATTATAGTGGTAATGACTTGTTCCCGTAATACATGATGATGTTTTTTAAATGATACTGCAAGTATCGATCCACAGATAAAAAACTGATTGAGAAATATTAACATACAATACAATCCCACCCTCTCTTCAATACATACTAGATATTGACATGTAAATATATTGTGCTTAGTGTGTCTTAGCTTTATTGATTGTAAATAAAAAATACATATTTTTGTTCATACTGCGGAATAATATCTTTTACTATTGATTTGCCATTTGTAACAATGCCATCACGTGGCTACGATTGCGAACTTGAATTTATTGCTTGAAGTGAAGCAAGTAAGACAATATTCTGTTCTATTCCTATACCATTTGCCATATAATCTATAATTTCCATGTTTTCTATCGCAAATAGGACATGGCAAGCTTCACAGCTGAGGTGATGTAAAATTATAATTATCAATCTCTCTAAAACTATTTCAGAATTTCAGGTATATGAAATGCTTTAAGACGGACTTGATAATTAATTCTGGATTGGGTTTGACTTCAAAAATGATAGGCATGAAATCAGAGTTTTGAAGTTTTGTTAACACTATCACAGCTTTTGTTAATTGCCATAGCTCATGTCCAGTTTCTTTTTTATATTTTTTGTATAAATTGAAACGAATCTTATCTGTCAATATGCTCGGTAAACCATTTAATTTAGCATGCCAATCTAAATATTCAGGAGTTAATATTTTATCAGATTTGGTCATGTTGTCTTCTTATATGATTGCAAATCAATTTAATTAACATAAATTAGCCCTAAAAAAATATATGGAGCGTGAGCAAATATAGTATTATAAAATAATAAGATTATGCAGTTATTTCAATTTTACGCTGTTCACATTTAATAAAATAGGATCTAGTTTTATATCTACCTTCTATGCTTTCTTCATTGCCATAACCTAATTTGCATAATAGGCATGATGTCTCATCAGTAATCCCATAATAATCAAAATTTTCACTACTAAATTCTCTATATAGATTAGGATATTGATCCAATATCTTGTTGTGAAAATATGTGTGATCATAGGTTGGACTAGTCCTACTTGTTTGAGGTGTGACTGATGAAATCATTTCTGCTGAAGTCACATGATTCTGATCATTACCATTGGTTACGGTTTTCGAAATTACATGAACCTGATCATTCACATAATCTATAATGTTTTTTTTATAAACGATGTGGCACTGCTAGTAACTTTATTAAATTTATGCAGAAGAAATACAAAGTAAATCAAATAAATTTAAACTAAATACTAGCTATCCTGTAGTTATATTACAAACCCGTTTAAATTGACTGATCATCATCTTTCCCCTCCAACAAGTCCACTAAGTTTATACCTAATGAAAATTGCTATCAACAAGAGAAGAAAAAGAAAGAGTCAGTGCCTATCTAAAAATCCGTAAAGGTGTAGCCAAATTTATTCGCCATGTATATTCATGATTTCTAATTATATGTAGGACTTAATATTTCTTTGTGTCTCAAGAATGAACTGGCATCTCGTTTAGTCTTATCTTTGATTGTGATACCTAATGAGCATTCTTTAGCTATCATTAGATTACAACGATATTTTCAAACATTCTCGAATAATTTTTGTTGAAAAACTATCAAGATTTGAGTGATGGTTGAGAAACATTGACCCTTGTTCCTGATGATTTTATGAACTATGTTTATTAAAGAAGAAGGAATAAGAGAATGAACAATATTGATGTAACCATCTGTTCTAGATGAGAGGATGGCAAGGATATCATTTAGAATGTCTAGTAATTCTAGAAGAAACTCAGTAAGTTTAGAGATATTCAATTCTGTAAGGCGAAAGATTAAATCATCTTTGGTTATTTGAATAACATCTTGTAGTCTTGTGGTATAGGCAGGGCAGGTTCAGATCTATAATGTTTTGAATTTGAGTATTGTTTAATCTAGAAATATCACTTGCGTTATAAGTGATTAACTTAATTCTATCGATTTCAACCCCTTTTTCTTCAAATAACATAAGAATATTTTTAATTCTATGTGTTCAGATTCGCAAATTACCCAGAGTGACATTAGGTAAATACTGCAACATTTCTTTGTATATCATCGATCTTGCTGTCTTATCTTTAGTCTTGCCATCAGCTGTAATATTTTTTACTTTTTCTTCAAATTCAAAGAAATAATGATATAAGTATAAGATTTCTTTTAGACCCATTTTTATAACCTCACCAATCCAATAAGCTAATCTCTGCATAGAGCTCTCAATTGCATTGTTTAAGATGGACTCGTCATGTAGTTTAACTAATGTCACTGAAGAAATAGATCTAGAAAGATCATGCTTCAAAATTTGGTAATTGAGCTGATTTCTATCAAGCAGTTGTGTAGCAATCGGCCTAGACATTTCATCAGATGGAACATCCTCACTATCAGCACAAGAGATCGTTTTTATGTCACATGATAAGTTATCCTGGGTCACTCTAATGTCTACCCTTTCATTAATTAATGAAAGCGAAGCACAGATATCATCACCTGTGCTGAGAGATAATTCTAAATCTTGATCATTACCATTGGTAATGGTTTTTTTGTCACGTAATAATTTCGAATCTTGATTGTTATCAATGGCAACGGTTTTTTTATCACATGATAATTTTGAATTGTTAATGGTTTCTATATTGTCAGAAGTAATGTCCTGAACTTGATTTTTAGCTGACTCACATAGAAATTTCTTTTCCTTATTATGTTGCTTTATTTCACTACTAACAATTTTCTTATGAGTCTCAAGCAAGAAATTATCCATCTCTTTCTCTTTCAACAATTTGCCGTTAAGGTATTTCGCAGAGTTGGTAAGTACTATTATTGCTACTGGTACTGCAACTAAATTGAAGCTAGGTGAACTGTTGTTAGAAGAATTATACGAAGCGCCTCTCAGCTCATTTAGAGTCTGCTTCTATTCCACTTTCATGATTCTATCTCTAAACTCAGATTCTAACTCCTCGATTCTAGCCTTAAGTTTAGCTTTTTCAGCATCACGCATCTCATTATATTCTCCATTTGCTCTTAGAACCTCAGCATTCCTGTGCTTAAGTTCAACTATTTTAGCATTAGACACTGAGAGCTTGTTTCTAAAATAGGAGATCTCAGTATTCTTCTTCCTAAGCTCTGTATTTTCAGCCTCAAGTTCAGTGATATGCTGTTTCAATAATTCAAGCTCGGATGACATGATCTATATATAACTAATATAATGTATATAAGCATTCAAAATAAAAAATATATGTTTTTGGCCAGGACGTTCCAGCTGAAATTTGCTAAGAAAAATTTTTTATCACTACATGTAAAAAATAAATATAAATGTTTAGGACGTAACCCAGAATACATATTATTTTTTGATAATTTTTTTGATTCTAGCTCTCTTGCTAGCTGGAGAACTATCAATACTAATCCTATCCTTTAACAGCTCAACAATAATACTTATCACCCTTTTCACATTGCTAAGAAGTAATTCAGAGTTTTCTTTAATGGCAGACTTCGTAAGATTGATCTGGTATTCACTTTCACTCGTAGAGTATATACCATCCAGAGTATATATGATAAAGTGCCACTCTGTATCTGTAGTCACAATACCATAGATATAGTCAAAATAGTCATTTTCAAACGCTTGATCCACAGTCCGCTTCTTTTTATTTGTCTGGAATGCACTTTCAAGCTGGGCCAAATTCTAAGAAAAATAAAATGTGTTAATATTGAATTTTCTAAAAAACACAGATCTATGTAGTAGATGCACCTGTGTATATCTGATCTTAATATTATAAGGCTTTCCTTTGGTGATATATAAGAGGTCTTCTAAAGCTTTGTTTGCATAATCAACTTGACCGGTTGAATCTTCTCCTAAAATATCCTTCTGTAACACTATAAATATATCTTGAGAGGTGAGTTTTTTGACAATGGCAATTGATGCATGTAATATAGCTAAGATAAATTCACAGCGCGTTGCTTCGTTAGCATCGGTCATAGTTTTTACATTCAAAAGTTTTAAGATAATATTTTTCATACAGTGTTCGAACGCTTTATCATCATCACTAATCTCCTCGAAGACTACAGAGAAAAATAAAATTAATATGGCTATCTAGTCAGTTTGAAAATTAATTAATTACCTACTGAGAGTAAACTGCTTGATGTTTGTTATATCCTCTCTATTGACCTTATTTCTACGTAACATTTTCTTCAGGTCGTCAAGAGTTTTGAGCGAGAAATAGTTTCGTAATTTCTGACTGAGACCTTCAATGAATTCTGTAAGCCTTGTTATTAGACCTAACGCGAAACCAATACTATGAAAGTTCTCTTTAGTTAACTTGAGAAAGTCAGAGCTGGCAATTTTCTCTTTACAAAGTATTTTAATATCATCTTTATCGAGTTTTAAGTTTTTCTTTTCCAAATAATTGATAAGCTTCTCTATATTAAAATCCTTAACCACGTCCGATATTGTTTGAGAAGAAATTTCTTCCATTATTGAGCTTAGAAAAGAAGGTGTAGAGGCTTGTGAAGACATGGTTTTTATATATGTGAGTTTGTGCTTGCGAAAAAATATGTACTTGACTGCAGTTACAGATAAAGCTGGTTTATAGATATAAATGTATTTTTAGTTTCAGCGCTCAGAAAGAAATGATTTATTTTTTTTGTAATGCTTTTGCCTAATATATATGCAATTAAGATATAGTACAGAATTATCAGATGATTATATTATATTATTACACATGACATTTTTCAAGATTTACGACAAGAACATAATATATGCTTTATTTAAAAAATAAAAAAACCTTACCGGAAGCCGGCCTACATTACATAAAAATTGCGAATATATCGCTACATGATACAAAAAATTATTTGGGATAAACAGTGAAATAGAAGTGCTCTACTTTAGGTTCCTCAGTAAAAATATCGATAAAATCCTCATGCATGTCCATTTCCATTTCAATAACGCTTATGGCTCAAATTATACAAATTTTGAGAGGAATTTTATTAAATAGTGTCCCAATCTACTTTGAATTGCAGTCTCAAGATCACTATAATAATCATCTCTGCGAATTGTAATTGATTGCATTACTTTAATGCATGGAATATTTATAAGTTTGCCTATAGGAACGATAAGACAATTGATATTAATGTTGTTATCATTTATTTCAACTTCTAAATTCAAGAATCCAATAGTGAGAAAATTGCTTGGCCCACTTGCATTAAAGAACATATACTGTACATACCTTAATTTGCGTTATTTTTTACAGGAATATTTTTGCAGAAAATTGGCTGAACTTCCACATACCTTACATGCTTTATATCTTATTGGGAAAAGATAGGGGGATAAATATAAGTGATTAGCATTGTCATATAATACCAAGAGCTTCATGAAAGTACATGTAAACGGAATCCTCATACCTTTTCACATGTAGATCTACCGGAGAGACGCAAAGGTAGTTAGTTTTTGTAGATCTTAAAATTACAAAGTTCTCAGCCCTTCATAACATATGCTTTTGACGTTAATATTTACTTTTACAGTAGTTCTGTGTTGCAATTAGACCTCCTTTCACATTTTCTCATATTTGTTTGGAGAAAAATAAAGAGCAAAGGTTAATATGTTTTCTTTTTCAAATATATATGCAAAAATTAATATGCTTTAGCGTCTTAATAGCTGTCACACAAACCTGTCTAGCAATTCACTTATTTTTGTCACACACGAGTACATGTATGTGGCCTAGTGAAATTTACCAAGCTGATGATTGATCATGCAAAGCATCTTAGTTACTGCGAAGAAGTATAGATGACATAATTTTTGCGCAACTGTGGTAATTCTTACGAGAAATTATTTTTCCATTTTGAATATATATATTATTATAACTGACAAAAATGACATCTGAAATAAAAGAAAACGAGATTGATACTAGCAATGAAGAAGTTACACACCTCGAGTTTATAGGAGATAAGGCATCAGATTACGATCACGAACTATCCGTCTCCAATGAGAATATTACCCTTTTGAAAAATTTTTTATAGTTAGCATGTAATAAACAGAAAACATCTTATACTTCAAGCCTAAGAAGTCTCAAAATTACGCATTATTCTAGACTCTTGAATAATAAAATTCTCTGTATTTTACGCTCATATCCAAATATAACCAGTTTAAATTTTGAACAAAGTAAAAGTTTTACTGATGCATCACTTATAGAAATTGCTCAATCTTATCCCAACTTAGAATCTCTCAATGTTTGTGATAACCAAGATATAACTGGCCACTCCATATATAAAATTGCAAAATCATATTAAAAAATACATCACTTTGATATTGGTTTTTGTAGGAATATCACTGATGATTTCGTTTATAAAATAGTAGAAGCATGTTCTAAATTAGAACTTTTATGCATTGATGAATTAAAACGGTGTAAACCAATTTCTGATCAGACGATAGTTGCAATAACTCACTCATATCCTAATCTTCGCCATTTCTCTTTAAAAGGTTGTCATAATATTACAGACGTTTCAGTTAATAAATTGTTACAATATATTTATAATTTAGAATACCTTGGACTTGATCAGTATAGATTTATTACTGATTTATCTATTTGTAATATTGCTAACTCTTGCCTGAAGCTCGAACATCTTGATATTAGTGCTTCTGATACTTCTGACACAACTATCTGTAATATTATACGTTTGTGTAAAAATTTAAGATATCTTGATATCAAGTATTGCCGTCTAGTTACTGATATAGCCATTGATAAAATTGCGTAACATTGTTCTAGTTTGGAATTTTTTGGCATACAGTCGACAAATATTAGTAAAGATGCATGAGCAAACTTAATCCAAAAATTAAGATAAAGCGGGATTCAGTGCTTGACATTGGGTCAGAAAAAGAACTTAATGATCTTTGGATAATACTAGTTAATTTAGTACAGTATTTATATTAACTTATGCAAATCTCGAAGATATTGTACAATACTACGAAGACAAGATTAAAGATGAACATTATCAAAAGTTAATTGTGGAATTAGAACAGGATATGAGAAGTATAGCTGAAAGATTCAGTTTGATGGTAAGAATGTATAGGCTTAAAGAGAAAATTAATTATCAACCGACAAATCCAAAATTAGATACTAATTATGCTATTACCGAGTTTGTTTCACGCAATATAAAATATAGAGGTAAAGAATTATCTTCACACATGATATTTCAAACCCCCCAGAGTGAATTCCACTGAAGATTGCGTAAAAATGATTTCTTTTCTTAAGACTGACATCTAAGATATAGTTGTAAAACTGATCCATGATTTTTTCGCCTTTACTAACAATAAACCTTTTTGCTAATTACTATCTTCTGAGCTGATCACTAATCCAGATTAGTTAGATAAGGCAGAGTGGACACTCATTTTAGGGCTAGTATTCTTTCACCAGTTCTATGTCGCTGACGTATCTGAGTTAAACTAGCAAGTGTAAGATGATTACTAACTATTTCAATAAAATCAGAAGGCGTCACAAAATTCTCAATGTGTATATTTCAATTTAGCTGATCTACAGCTTCTTTGCTAATTTTATAACACCCCTCCAGATCATGATACTTTAAATTAAGATATAAACAAGCAATTTCTCTGATAATCACATCAATAATTCCACAAAAACTAAGGACAAGTTCCTGAAGTCTTGGACAAGAATGAATAATACTAAAAATTGATGTTCTGGTAATCTCTATGCGGTGAGAAATATTTAGATATTCTAATTTACGGCATGCGTTTGCTAAAGCAAACAGGCCTTTATCAGTTATTATTCCAGCATGACTGCTTACATACTTATCCTTTCCCAAATTGAGATGCTTCAGATTTGGGTATAATTCTGCTATTCGATTTAGCACTTTATCGCTATATCCCGTACTTTTTCTAAAATTCAAATGAATTATATTTAGAAATAAGCACACAATATTATTGATTTTTTTATTAGAAAGTGGATGGTAGTATGAAATTTTAAGATGAGTTAGATTCAAATTATAAACTAGTTGTTTCTTTCTACATACTAATTTTATGAATTTTTTCAATTGAGAGGGATTCTTTGCATAATAATAGCCATTTCCCTTTAAGTCGATGCATTTTCATAGAATGGAGCACTGCATCTGTACCACAATCAGAAAACAAATAGAGTGTGATAGAGGGATTTATCTATCACTAAAAAATGTAAAATATATTCTAATAGTTCTAGTAAATAAAAGATGCTTGATTGCGCCATAAAAAATATATGCTGTATCTTTAAATAAAAAATAAAATTACACTACTATGCAAAGTATCTTTGGCCTGCTCCAGATTGTTATTCTCATTTTATTTCTTTGAATGGGATCACAAAATTATCGTTCTAATAATAGTTTTGAATTGCATATATCCAAAGTTGTACTATTTTCTTGAAACTATAGCATTCCTAATACTAAGCCAGGATAATAATCAGGCCAATCCGGTCTAAGAACTATGAATTCAATGAGTGTGATCAGAAAAAATCCCTCCAGATCAGATTGTTTGCAAAATTCTAATGCTTGTTTTAACAATGCCCATTCCTTATTAGTTCATCATTAGCATAATCATGTATGGACTTAATATCTCTTGGTGCATCAACTGACATTCTCAGTTTTCTTGATACTACATACATCCTGGAATATTCACAAAGAGAGGGTGGTGTTATAGTACACACGAAATTCTCAACATGAAAATTTGAATTAAGTGAAACGAGCTGACCTATGGCTTCTTTGCTAATATTATCACACCCTTCCAATTTGAGATACTTTAAATTAAGACATGAACTAGCAATTTCTTTGATAATCTCATTAGTAAATTTGTAATAGCCAAATTCAAGATGTTGAAGTCTTAGGCAAGAATGGATAATATCACAAATCGATATCCTAATAATCTCTCTGTAATAAGAAATATTTAGATATTCTAGTTTATGACATAACTGTGCAATTGCACATAAACCTTTATCAGTCACTTTCCCATTATTAGGGCTTTTGTACCTACTCTTTTGTAAATTGAGATACTTCAGATTGAGGTATGTCTTTGCTACTCGATTTAGTGTTTTATCGCTAAATCCTGTACTAAATTTAAATCTAAATAGACTATATTTAGGAATAAACACGCAATACTATTGAATTTTTTATCTTAAAGTGGATGGTAGTTTGAAATTTCTAAATGAGTTAGATTTGAGCTATAAACTGACTTTTGTCTTTTTCGTACTATTTTCATAAATTTTTTCAATTGAGAGTGGCATTTATTTAGCTCGATGCATTTCTATAAAATAAGGCACCATATCTGTATCATAATTAGAAACAAATAGAGCGGAATATAGTGACTTATTTACCGCTAAGAAATATAGAATCTGCTCTAATAGTTCTAGTAAATTTATAACATCCAAATGCGCTATAAATAATATATGCTGTATCTTTAACAAAAATAAAATTACGAATATTGATGATCACTGCTCCAGATAATCGTTATTCTGCATTAGGTTCATATTTTACTTCTTTGAATGGGATTGCAAAATTATCGTCTAATAATAGTTTTAAATTGCATATATTCAAAGTTGCATCATTTTCTCGAAACTATGGCATTCCTAAGATTAAAATTGGTCTAGGCCAATCTGGTTCAAGAACTATGAATTCACTGGATATGGTTCACCATCTTCAAAACCAATATGCAGATTGGACTTTTTCTAATGTGAAATAGGATGCATCCAGAGTTAGTGTTGGTAAAAAAGTGCTCAAACATACCCTTCCTGCTAGTTGAGTAGATATAGCTTCCCAACTATTGAGTGTTCAAGATAAAAAATACCAATACTGTCCAGAGTTACAATGCTATTGCTTTCACTGGGATATGTAATTCTTAATTCACTAATATGTTTTTGGCTAATGCAATTTACATCAGTACACGTATCAATTGATGCCTCAATAGGGATATTTTCTTTGACTACGTAATTTACAATGATCATTTTGTTATAGAATATATAATATTCAATCATAAAAAAATCTCTATTCACCACTCCGCCCTAGAGAGTATCACTATACTGTTTGATCAGCTAGTAAGTTATCAAAAGCTCTCACTATTAAGGTAGAAATAATACCTTGAATTGGCAATCGTCTGTTTACAACTACCTCTTAAATTCTACGAAATGTTAAATTACTAATTAATCCTATAGAACTTTACCTGCAATCAGTATTGGGATTTTTTGACTTAGACACATTGTTGCTAGAAAGCCAAAGCTTCTGGACAGATAAGGAGACGAATATCCAAGTGATTTTTCCCAACACTGTTCGCAATCTCTTTCAAGGGATAAGGTGTAAATAATAAAAATATTCGAAGTACCTATCTCGATAAAAAATGGCATTTACTCTCAATCTCCAATCTCTTTATTAATTCATCGTTGATATAATTATCTAAAGATGTAATATCTCTTGATGCATCAAGTAACATTCTTAGACGCCTTGTGAGTATATACATCATGTCTAAGACTTTATTATTTTGGGGGAATGCCTGAATCAGTTGTTGAGCTAGCTAAGTATTAAGAGAGACTGGTGTTATAGTATTCTCAAAATTCTTAACATAGATATTTAAATTAATTGAAACAAGTTGATCTATGGCTTTTTTGCTAATTTTAACACACCCTTTCAGATTAAGATATTTTAAATTAAGACATGAACTAGCAATCTCTTCAATAGTCATATCAGTAATTTTACAAAAGCTAAAATTAAGATATTGAAGCTTTGGACAAGAACAAATAACATTACAAATTGATGTTTCAGTAAAGTCTGTGCGATAAGAAACATTTAAACATTCTAATTTATGATATGAATTTGCAATTGCAGTTAGACCTATATCATTTTTTGATCGATATTTGCACTGAGTAGATATATTGAGATACTTCAAATTTGGGTATGATTCCACTATAAGCTTTAGAGCTTTACCAGTAGGATCTATACTTTTTTCAAAATCTAAATGAATTATATTTGGAAACATGCGTACAATGCCTTTGATTTTTTTATTTAAAAGTGAATGATAGTGTGATATTAAAGATGAGTTAATTTCAAGCTATAAATTAGTTTTCGCCTTCCCCATGAGTAGTATACCACTCCATGTACTAATTTCATAAATCTTTCCAATTGAGATCGATCCTCTGCTTCATCTCCCTTTAACTTAACACGTTTTTATAAAATAGAAACATCATATCTATACCAAAGCCGGCAGACAAATAGAGCGGGATAGAGAGATTTATCTATCGCTAAAAAATATAAAATCTGCTCTAGTAATTTTTGTATATTAAAAATGTCTATATGCACCATAAATAGTGTATATTGTATACTTCATATTCAAATGAAAAATCTTCTGAGCTGGTAATCTCCAGTCCAGGCTCGAAGATGTTAGACTTGATGTAATAATCAAGTTTCAGAAACGCATAATAAGAAATTATTGAAGTAAGTATATCTTGATAAAAATATGACGCTTGCTCTTCCTGAATTACTAAAGAATATTTTAAATTTCTTAGCTAAAAATAACGTATTATATCTAACTTTGCTGGTTTCTAGACTTTGGTCTAGGTGCACTGGTCTAATTTTATGGGGTCGTATCAAATTGATTAGTGAGAAACAACAGAAAAAGTTTATAAAAATGATACGTATAAATTCTAGACTGATTTTTAGACATAGTATGCAGTGCCTCATAATTACGCACCATTCTTATCTTTCGAATGAGATAATTGAAAAAATAGTTAAAGTATTTCTAAACATAATCCATTTAGATTTTGAGCGAAGTACGAGTTTTGATGATACGGCTTTAATCAAGATTTCTCAAGTATATCCCAACCTGATCCATTTTAACATTTTTAATAATGGGGCTTAACTGATCATTCTATCATTAAAATTGCAAAGAAATGTGATAAATTACAGTTTTTAAATATTAGTTTTGGCGGAGATATTACCGGTAAATCATTTTGTGAAATAGCACAGTCATGCAATGGGTTAAAACATCTAAGAATTAGTGGGTATCGGAATTATATCACTGATAGCATTATACATGATATTGCACGATCCCATCCTAACCTCCAATCTATAGATATTCGTTCTTCTAGTAGACTTACCAATACTGCTATTTATACCCTTACAGATTCATGCCCAAATCTGAAAAGTTTAAAACTCGAGTATTGTGATGAAATAAATGATATAGCCATCAGAAAAATTGCACATTGTCGTTATTTGAAACATCTCGAACTCTATAATATAAAGGCTCTTAGTGATAAATCAATGTGCATTATTGCGTGATCATGTCCAGATATCCAATATCTTAATCTTCAATTTTGCAATATTACAGACAAAGCTGTAGAAGAAATAGCTCTATCCTGTCACAATTTAAAACATCTAGACCTTTTTGGAGCTCTGCATATATCTGATTCGTCAATTTCCAAAATTGCAAAAATGTGTCCTAATATCATATATCTTGATCTTGAATACGCTAACTTTATTTTCAATAGAACTCTTAAAACTATCACAGAGTATTTATATAATCTAGAATATCTTGGCCTGAAAGGTTGCCGTAGAATTAGTCAAAAAATAATAGACATGTTATTTCCTGATCTTGAAATAGGCAAATATTACTCATTACTACTTAGGCGGTAAGAATGGATAAATTTGGATAAATTTTTTAAGCTGGCGAGGCCCATTTTAAACTACCAACTGTTTAATCTTTTTTGGTCATGCCTTTCTTCGTTGCTTATAAGGGATAGTCTCGTTTTCTCTTATCACAATTGTCTTAACTGAATCAGATTATTCTGAAGACTCAGACAAATAGGAAGAATCCTTACTTTTTTCATTAATCAGTATGGGAACTATTTTATGTATTAAGTTGACCACAGTTTCTTTATCCACACATTCATCTAATAGTTGTGTATATAGATCTTCTTCATTTCTCTCTAATCTTCTTATCGTCTTTTAAAGCTATTATACTCAGAATGATAATTATCCAGTTTTTTCTCGAACTCCTGAATCTGTCCAGAGAGTACTTTATATACTCTTGCATTCTGCTCATCCAGTTCAAATAACCAGTCTGTTTTCTCTGTACGTCTGATAACTTCCTGCTCATTAGTTATACTATTGGATGAATGCTTTTGATCAGTTACCATTTTTGTGATATTTTATATATGTTAAATCTTAGGTGAACGAAAAAATAAAATTTAATAAATATTGTCTAGCCCATCTATGTGATTAGTTTTCATCGAAGAGCTTGAATGCTATTACCTGATCATAAGGCTATCCTCTTTTTCAAAAATTGATTATAGTATAGTTTTGCGTTGGGAAGGTATGGTTGTCTGACAAATGTCGAAGGGCTTGACTGGCGATGGTTATAGCTTCTGATAAATTCTTCACACCATTCGATATGACTGCAAATACTGCCTCTAATTTGCACAAATAGCTAGGAAGAAGTGGTTTACCAGTTTCAGGAAGAAATCTATCTTTTTTTAAAAATGTATTAAACCATTTAACTCCTGACACTTCTGGATCCCTCAACTGTTTAGAAGAAATTGCATTCTGAATCCAAGTAAAGAGAAGTTTAGCCCACTTTTCATCTCTTTCTAACGATCTAAATATCTGAGGATTATCCTGTTAGCCTCAGTTTTTTGCGTATTCAGTTACACCTTCATTAGATGTGCGCAAGTCTTTAATTTTGGCGAGACAGATGCAGAGCATTATTATTACATCGGCTAGGGCTTGCATATTAGGTGTTAGACATATTATAGAAATCAAGTCTCTCCTTAACTGATTCTAACGAGAAGTGATCTGAAAAATCAATCCCTTCGTTTTCACATTGATCCCTATGCTTCTTTTGAATCTTATTAGATACGCAGGTTGTATCTTCGTCTAATGTAGCAGAGATTATCTTTTCTGAGGCATTGAGTCTCCGCAACTCTCTTCAGAGCCTACTAAAATGAGATGTGGTTAGGGACGTTATAGTTAAAGCCTTGGCTATCGCCTTTACTTCTTTTCATTAAGATTATCTCGAATAATACGCTAGGTTATACTTTCGATGGTTTCTCTGTCTGGGATGATGTTAGATATTTGGCATATATTAACTTCCCTGCTTCATCTCCTTCTTCTTTGGAGATTACCTGACTTCTACTTCAGCAAATTCTCTGATCAAGGACTAATACAAATGCCTGCTCTTTACTAAAACTATACTCTTCCTGAAAGTACTGGCGACCCTTGTCTCTTTTCAGTTTATCTGTCAAAAGCTCGAGTAATGCTGGAGCATGCTAGCTAAGTTTTTCATTACTCATATCTTTATTGAGTTTGTGCTCTGCAACATACTTTGTTACAATCGCAGACATGGCTGTATGAATATAGGTTATGAAGTAACTACTAGATTATGTGTAACTGTTAGGTTATTCTATATCTGAAAAACTTCAATTCGAAAAATTTCCTCAGAGCCATGCTTCTTCAGAAAGGAAAAATATCAGAGACGGCTTTTGACTAGATTAAAAGAGCGAAAAAAAAATGATATAACTTATGCTCTGCCATTAAGGCGCTTCGCAGACCGGCATAACACATTTTTAAATATCTATAATAAAAATAAAGATAAGTTTAACGTATATTAATCTTAAAAACTTTTCCAGAAAAAAGTACTATGCCCTTTGGTGAATACATATTTGATTCAAAGGACGAGAATTACCCAACTTGGCCTTGCCTAAATAAGAAAGATGATGGGTCTATCTGCAGGAAAAGATACTTTCGCGAGGGCGGGTGTGTCAAACACTATAAGTCTCCACCAAATAAAATGTGCGCATCCTGTAATGGGCCAATCCATTCTCGGACTGGCTTTCGTATAATGTATAAGAAAAACTGGCTAGAGAGTCGCAAAAAGAGTGAGTAGGTTTTGTAACTTTGGCTGAAGATGCGGTTACTAAGCTGACCTGCTAAAGCAAAGGAATTTTGAATATCTATAATAAAAGTGAAAGCGAAGTTTTAAGATTATTAATATTAAAATTACCTCGTATAGGTCGTTTTATCTGCCGATACATCAAGAAAGATGGTTTGATGTGTGGGAAAGGGTGCATGAGTGATTTAGGGTGTTCCAGACATTTTAATACCCTTCCTAGAATAATATGTCCTATCTGTAATGAGCTAACATATTCTGATATTGGAATCTGTAGCACACATAAAAAATTTATAAAAATGCCTGGCGTAAAGGTAAAAAAGTTAAAATGGAATCAGACATGATCGAGACACCTAGCTGAATAATAATCTGGCCAAAGTATTATTTTTTCTAACCTATAGAGTCAAAGAGTTCCTGAATATCATTATCTATTTTCGGCCTGTATGGTGGAAGCTCTGGTGCACCTTTATCTCCAAAACCAAGATTTTTATATGGTCGGCGATTAATTCGATATGAATATTCCCAAACTTGCTTTTCTTTAGGTCCTATTTTTTTCTGATTGCTTTTAACTGTATAGCCACACAAATTACCAGCAATTGCATTGATTGTTTTTATGGCCGATATAAGATCAGGCTTTTCTTTTGCACGGGACTTAAAACCAAAGAGCAATAAAGACTGACTTCGGATTTCTATAAATCTTTCACATGATTGAGCAAATGCTTCTGAAATAATATTACCTGAAAGAGTACGTATATCATCAATGCCAGTAAAGCCTAGTATTTGAAAAAGTTCCCTTATAACTTCCCAGTGATTTGCCGAATAAGATTTATGCAAGTCCTTTGCCACTGATTTTTCCAGATTCTCTTCGGCTTTATAGCAGGCAATTTCCCATTGTGTAGTATCCTTGGCTTTTAACTCTTCCATTGCACTCTCTTCATCATAGCCATGCCTCCGAAATTGAGATAAACGTAAGAAATGTTTTCGAGATTCAGGCGGGCTAAAACATTTCACGAATTTTTTATTGCAGAGATTATTCCAATCATTGATATTTACGTCTTTACCACCATAAAGATTTCGCATATAGAAACGTTTAAGTGCTATAGTATCTGCTATAGAACGCTCCTGGTCAAACTTAAGAATTTCAGCTTCTTCAGGATCAAGATTTCGGGAAATAGCAACTGCATTAAAATCCGTTTCTTTAATAACTAATGCTTCAACTCTAACCTCATTACAGATTCTTTTACGGCTCCCTATAACTCCTCGGCTCTCATCCATTTTATTAGTTGGAGAGAAGCGCCAATACTGGCTATAAGACTACAAAGCTTCTCAATAAAATATCTTGCAGAAAGGTGTTTCTGATGCTCAACTTCAATGAATGTTATTACAGCTGGAGATTCATTGATTTTATAAGAAATAGCATTGTTATCCCATTCACAGTGACCCTTTATTGCTGTAGGCAAATTATTAGATTGAGCACTTTCAAGTTCTGCTCGAATATTTTCATGGCCTGGTGGACGAAAAAGTTCATTAGAATTTTTCTGATAGAACATGGAAACAATACGACGAGAACAGTCACGAATTCGATAAAGCATTTGTGCAAGAGCCTCAACATGAACTGGAGTGGCAATATTTGTAATGGCTATGACTATATCAAAGTAGCCCGTAATCTCGAATGATATTCCTGCCTCCACTGTGTTTGTGTAGGCTACACAGTCAAGCTTACCCCAAGCGACATCAATATTAGAGAAGTCTTTTTGTCTCTGCTTCTCATCCATATTCCCATAATATGCACGGGCTTTAACAGGAGAATTGTCAGGTTTAGACAACTTAGATGCTTTTTCTACTAACGCTCTAGCCATCACTGCTCCAGTAGATATGAATGCCACACGTTTATCCTGCCTCAAAAGATCATATCCTATTCGCATGGCTTCAGCTCCACTATTCGGATCATAAATAAATTCAACTGTCTCGCCTATACGAGGCTGATACTTATTATCAACTATGCGAATATTTTCACCATGATAAGTCTAGAGGAAGGTTAGTGTTGATGTATTTGCAAAAGCATCCATGGCCAAAACATGCCTTGCAGATCTTAAGACATCACGTATTGCATTCTCAGATTCCCGTGCATTTGTACCGCTAGACATTTGACGCATAATGGCATTAGCTTCATCAAGAATAGCTACAAACAGACGGGCTGTAAACTCGATACAGAAAAGACTCTCAACCTGTACTATGATAATATCCCACTCATTTATAGATAAGTTTCCTTGTATATTTTGATAATTGCAAATTCGAAAACCAGATGCTTTTAGCTCATCAAGTTTCGTTTTTGATTCATTACTAAGAGACTTTCGGTAAGAACCCCAGATATAACATGGCAAAGAAAAAATATCATGTACCTTATTTTTCAATGCCATAATAATCTCTCTTTATGTAGTGGTTTTCCATGTTCCCGGAGGAGAACGAATAAGTGTTGTCGTTTTCTCAATACCCAAGAAATCGGGATATACTTCTGGAGCATCCTTTAATTTTTCTACATTAATCATCGTTTCTGATAATCCTACAAGAGGGCGTGGATTTGATATAGCATCACCTATTCTTTCGACTATTCCTCTCTTAGGTTTTGCAGGAATTTCGGTTACTTTTCCAAACACTAATCCCTTATGGTCTGATTTATAATTTTTCTGCTGATAATATTTGAGTATAAAACAGCCGTTACTTCGTAGAAAGCCATATAACTGATCTT